CGTTGACCGCCATGAGTTCTCTTACGAGATCTCACTAAACTTTGTCCTCGCCGCCACGTGGTTTTTCATAGGTTTACTCAAATTTTTTTTTGGACAAAACATTGTCTGATTTTATTCAAAACTTGTACTTATATTCATAATTGTTTTGCTAAAACATTTTTTTAGGTTATAACTTAATATAAGCCGAGATCTCAAATTAGATCTCATGGCCGTAGGATGTCACCATTTGAAAAATTAATGTTTTGACCATCAGCCTGAGATCTCAAATTAATCTCATTATGAAAAAGCACTTTAATTGAGACTTAAAATTAAATCTCAAATAAATATTTATTTATTTTTATAAAATAATACATTATTTGAACAATAAGGAACAATATAATAATATGAAAACAATCTCTGGTTTTTTAGTCTTTTATCCTATAAATTTCAAAATAAAAAACGCATATATGTAACTTTTTTATGATAAAAATGATATTACAAACAAAAAACTTAACTTGAAAACTTTTTTTTAAAATCTCAAATAGGTATTTATTTATTGAATCAAATACATTATTTGAGTTATAAAGGAATTATACAAAAACAATGTGAATACAATTTATGTTGCCTTTATTCCTATAAATTGCATAATTATAACAAAACATTTATATGATAAAAACATAATTATATGAAAAACAAAACTTTTAACTTTTTATGATGAATAGTAACATTATATATAAAAACAATCGGGAGACTAAGAAAACTTAAGTAATAAGAATGATAATAACAAACAATAACAGTGTATTTAATATTTTAAGACATAATAAAAAATAATTAGATCAAAATAACAGAAAAATTGATAATCTTTTTGTATTGTGTTTTTCTGTCAATTACTTTGTGATTTTATGATTTTTGAAAAAACATTTAAGACAGTAATACTTGTTACACACTAAGCATTTAGTTTGTACTTTGGTGCTATGTGATTGAGCATAATTTCTTCCTTTACTCTGTGACATAATTGAATAGCACATATAACACCTGCTTTTGCCAACGACTTCTAATTGGTGATTTATTGTTTGCAAAGAGCTTTCAACATCAACAGTTTCTTTTTTAAGTAATTGTTCGACAATGAAGTACGGAAAGCGGTGATTGACATTTTTGATGAAGTAATGGTATTGAATAATACCATAGAATTAACAACAGCTATGTTTAAAAGCGCATCTAAAGCTACCTTTCTATACCACTTTGTGCTACGCCTAAGAGGGTTCGAATAGGAACTCATTTGATCTGAAAGATCAATGGCCGTTTTTCGTGTATTGTAGTCTATTACTACTTTAGGTTTTTTTACAATTTTACCTCTTACAACATTTTCTACAGCTTCACTGGTATGTTTTGTTGATATCATGTATAAATCTCTTTTATCTTTCCATTTTAAAATCAAAACATTTGTATCACTTCTCTTTGATACTATTTCTCCTTTTTTTTAACTTTTTTTGGACTACATCTTTAGGATTAGACTTTCTATTAGATCTAATAGTTCCAACAAGATGAGTTTTTCTGGTTTTTAATTGTTCAGCTAACTCAACACTAGAATACCAGTTATCTACATATTATAATGTCCTTCCACAATCCAAAAAAGGTTCTCCTAATTCCATCACAATTTTTGTCCCAACACTACTTTCAGCGCTAGCCTCTTTACCAGCATATATTTTTAAAGCAATTGTGTAACATGGAGGAATACACAGCTTGAACTCTTTTACACCAAATCTATCACGTTTGTTTTTAATATATTGCTTAAATGCAAGCCTACCCATAAATTTTACAAGTGATTCATCTATACATAAATCTTCTTGCGGTTGAATGCAGTGGTTAGAATTAATTATTATATCATCAATTACTGTGCCAAGTTTATACAAACGATTTGTTGTATCAGCAGTTGTATTATCTGAGAAATGAAGCATTCCCATTAAGATTTCAAACCGATTTCTGCTCATTATAAGTCCAAAATTTGTAGAAAATATTTCAGAAGTACTCCATTAAAGTTCATATGATGGTAATATAACTAAGCCAGTCCAAATTAAAATTCCAAACAATTGTTTTATCTCTGTTACATTTGTATCGTACCATTTATTTAAACGTGCAAAAGGTGATGTTAATTTAGCTTATTTTTGTTGTGCAGCAAATTTATTTGTTTCGATTACTATATTATTTATAATTTTACTATCTACTATAAGCATATAAAAATCGAGGGGTGAGCCGTGCATTAGTACATCGAATAAGTCAGGATTTATACCTGAGTTTGTAATATCGGGGTTGAACATAAAATCATCAACAACATTATCATCATCTCTCCACTGACGATCATTAGTATGAATACTTGGGCATCCTTGTCCACGAGCAGTTATTGCAAAATCACCATCAGTTGATGCACTTATATGAAATACCATGTCTAAATAACAAATTAAATTAAATTTTTTTTTTTCTTACAATAACACAAATATTAATAATTCATTACCAAAATCTGGATCATTTCCATCACTGTTAATTTCACTGACTACGGATAATTCAACTTTTAAAATTATAAAATACAAATGAATAATTAGTATGAATAACTGAATAATAAATATTATAAAAAAACAAATAAAAATACCATCTGATGCCACTATATTCACATGTCTGCCATTATTTTGTATACTAGAAGTAGTAACTATTAAATTCAATACATTTAAAAATTATAATTTGCAACTTTGATCAACGTAAAATCATTATATTGTAGGTAAAATAACTTACTTGTAGACATGACTTCAACATTTTTATCCCAACTGGGATCATCATCGGAGTCGTCTACAGAACTATAATCAAAAGACGATTCTAACATCTCACTTATACTTTTAGAATTCATAATTGAGTAATAACTATGTCAGTATAATAAAAAATTACAAAAACATAACATAATCGTTAACTGTTAACTTAAAGTTAAAAACGCGTATAAACATTTATTTTTCATAAGGTGAATAATCAGGTTAAGCGCCACGTAGGATCTATTGACCTTTCATTCGACTTTTCAAAATGATTCTTATTAAATTCAGTAGGTTTGTCTAAACATTTTTTTATATTTCATCGAGACGAAAGACAATTATCACTTTTGTTCACATATTAACTATTGATTATCTTTCTTACCTGAATTGAATGCACACATAAAAAATGTGATGGATCTTAGAACCCTACGTGGCGTTAATGACAAGTGTAGGGTCATTAGATCCTTTATTCAATTTTTAGTGTTATGTAAAAGTACAATTTTTAACTTATGATATAAAATACACATTCATACATCAGATATAATGAATAATAATACATTTTATTTTGAAATTAAAAAAAAAAATTACATAAGATAACATATGCAATATAATATATTGTAATTTATATATTAATAAATGATTATAACTGTAAATAATGTCTACAATACATTTTTGTGTTTTTTTATTTAGGTTTTCAAAACATAACAATTGATTTTTTATTAACTATTAATAAATCAGCAATGTATGTTCCTACTTCCAATGATCAATATATAAATATAGAGAAAGAATGTGAGATTAAAATATATGATGATGATGATGTAAATTCAAATAACATTTATAAAATCCCTATTGGTATTTATTTATTATCTGAATTAGAAGCAATATTGAATACTGATAGAAATGATGGTATAATACTTACAATAAATGAAAAAATAAATTAAATATTGATACTAACTTGCATAGTTTTGTTATAGATCCTTATTTAAAGAATTCTATACTTTTTTATACACAAGGTTTTTTTAAAAAATTTAATGGTGTTATAACGAGTCGAAGTAATAACATTAAAACTATGATAAAGGGAAATTATTCAATTGATCAATTGAATAGTAAATTACCATTAGGTATTAAATTACAAAATGATAATAATTGTATTACATTTACTTCAAAAACTGATTTTTTGATGGATCAAAATTTTAAAACAAGTTTAGGGATTGATAAAATGTATTTTTTATATAAACACATTGGAGAAGTCTTAAATAATAATAATATAAATAAACGATTATTAGAAGTACATTGCAATATAATTGAAAAATCTTTTTCATCTGTTAAGGATAGTCATCACATCGAGGAAGATGTTTTGTATAATTTTTATTATGATTATGATAATCCATATACAAAAACTAATTCAATAATATACATACCAGTTAAAGGACATTTTCAAGAAATAAAAATAGATATTATAGATCAAAATGGTAAAAATATGTTTTTGATAATGATGATTTTATTGTTTATCTTGATTTAATTAAAGAATAAGTATTAAATTATTTTTCAATAGAAATATTCTATTGAAAATAATAGTCACTAGGAGATAAAGGTTGGAGTACTCCAACCTTTTATATTTTTATATTTTTATATTTTTACATTTTTATATTTTTATATTTTTATATTTTTATATTTTTATATTTCTTCAATAGTACCTTTTTCAACATCAAACAAAAATTCATCTTCTCTTATGAAAAACATATAACAAATTGTATCTTTAGGTAAATCTTCATGTAACTCAATATGTAAAATAATATTTTTTTTATTAAAAAGTATATTTTCTGGTTGATAAACTGTTTTAGTTAGAAATATTGATCTATAATCCTTAAAATCAGTTGGATCATTATACATCAATGGAATTTCTTGAGTATTTTTATGATAAGTTAATTTATATGACATCAAATCATCATAAAATTGACAAAACTTATTATTATTAAAATCTTCATCTTGACGTTCTGCAGGATAATTTATTCCATTTAATTCAAAACTATAGCTTCTAACACAACAATGATCAAATTCACCAGGGTCATGATCTTGAGTATTTAATTTATTTGTTTGAAGAACAAAACCACAAAACGTAGGATCATTTCTACCTCGATATTCATGTGTTACATTAATTTTAATAGTTTTTCCTTTTATATTTCTTTCCTCAATCATTTGCCACGTTTTAAAATTAAAAGTATACTTTTTTTCTTTAGAAAATGTAGTTATTTCATTTACCAATAAAACATTTTGTAAAGCAGCGTATCGTACAACTGGAATTTTAATTGAAAATTCTTCAATAATAATTTTACCATCTTCTGTTCCTGTAACAGTTTTTCTTACCTCTTTACCATTTTCAGTAACTACATCTTTTTTTAGTAATGCATCATCATCTGTATTTCTAGTAAAACATAATTCCATATTACAATTGATAACAGGAATTGAAATGTCATTGAAAAATGGTAAACCAAATTCTGATAATAAACCCATAACATTAAAATTACCTCCACCTTTAAATTTGCTTACAAAGCCTGAGTTTATACTTGGTCCATTTGAATCCAAAGAGTTGCAGTTTATCACACCGTTAATTGTACTTACTTTTCCTACATGCTCAAGTTCAGTTATTGTTTTACCATGTATTTTAACTTGAACTTTAGTCCATGAATGTTTAGGAAAATCATCAATTAGTTGTATTTTTGAACCTTTAGGATATTCTTTTCCATCTTTTTGTAAATATTTACCAGACATATAATACTTTGCTTTTCTAATATCCAGAAAATTATCCTGGTTATTTATTTTAAAAATGGTATCTTTATTAGGTGTATTAAGTTGATTGTTACTTATAGGTGTAAAAGTTTTATATTGAACACTTTCAATAAACTGATCATACTTTTTAAAAATATTATACATTGTTTATAATAGTAAAAAATAAAAAAAATTAATTTTTTTTATTATAAAAAATAATAATTTTTTATTATAAAAATTTTTTATAATAAAATGAATCTTATTATAATAAAACCATATAAAATAAAAAATAAAATAAAATCTTTATTTCATTTACCTATGCGACTTCAAATAACTGGTCCATCAGGCTCTGGTAAAACAGAGGTGTTGAGGAATATAGTTCTAAATCATTGGACTAATTATGAAAAATTATATATTTTTACAAAAAGTATCGACCAACCAGTTTATAATGATCTAATAGAAATATTTGAAGGTATACCTGAGATTTATTTTTATATATCTGATACAGATATTATATCTGTAGACGAATGTGAACGTGATAGCTTAGTTGTTTTTGATGATATTCCTTTAGATGAACAAAAACCTATTTATGAATATATGAATAGATCAAGACCAAAAAATATTTCAGTTATTTTTTTAAATCAATGTTATAGTTCAGCAAATAAACAATATATAAGAAATAATTTAACTCTTTTAATAGTTTTTAAATCAACTCAATATATTAAAAACATTTGGAATGATTTTTTAAGTAATACTATTTCTTTCAATGATTTTAAAACTTTATGTTCAGATTGTTGGAAAAATGACTATGGATTTATAACAATCGATCTACTCAATA